AAAATGCTGCGAAGTAAGCTATGCTCTTCAAGGTTCAAATAAACACCTCTCTGAACTTGAACCTTACGATCAGAAAAAAAAATTCTCAAGAAAAGTTAGCGTCAGTAACCCTCTCTTTTAAAAGATAACACACTGTGTTACCTCAATTAGCGGTTTGTAGCTTGCCTCCGTCGGCACTGGATGTCGCCTCAACATTGCGCAATCCGGATACTCAGCGAGGATCTGAAAAAGCCAGAGGTTTTATTCCAAACTTTGATCTAGGAAAAATTTGACCATCATTTCCCCGAATCAGCAACATCCTCTGAAATAAGTAAGAAGTATAAAGCCATCACTGTTTCTACGCGAAATAGCTCTACACCTGATATGAAGCTCCAATGACACTCTAAACGCCAGAGTCTGTCCTTTGAATTTCCCTAGTAAGACAACACGTGATTGAAGACCTAGCATCGCGAGCATGAGAATTCTAGGTTTGTTGACCTTGCTGCGAAGGGTGCGGGACTTTTGGCTCGTCCGGGCTGGCACGCGGCGAATTGCGCGGCGGCATGCGCGGCGATCCGGACGAGGCAAGGCTTCGCGGGTTCTGCAGTAGAATTCAACACGTCAAAGCGTGTGCAGATTGCGGATAAACTCCGCATGGTTCTGCGGTTTGAAAAACTTTCCGCAGGCGCAGATTTGAATGCAGCGGTGTCGGTGGGGAGTTTTAAGACGAATCACCAATGCGAATAAAAACATTGAAATTAGGATTTTTTATTGAGATATAGTTATTCAGTGCCAATTATATATGCTTGCCGATCGCGACGCTCATGTCCCTAGGGGAACATTTAAAATAGGGTCGATGGAAGGTGACACTAGGACTAAGCCCAGAGGGGGAAACGCCAGGGAGAAGACAATCAGCTCACATCTTTCCCAGAATTCCTTCCCCTCCTTGAGGCTCAATTCCATGCACAGTAATGGCTCATTCACTCGAGTCCTCAACAACCCCCCTCCCAGTTCATGGGCGCCCTTATCGTTATGTTCCCTCTTTCCAACTGAAGCTTCCTTACAATCATCGCTATCCTCAAATCTCCATATGTTGGAAAGTAATTCGAATAGCAGAACCTTGCGGATTTTATCCGCGATCTGCACACGCTTTGACGTGTTAAATTCCACTGCAGAAGCCCGCGAAGACTTGCCTCGTCCGGATCGCCGCGCAGCCCGCCGCGCGATTTGCCGCGTGCCAGCCCGGACGAGCCAAAAGTCCGTCGCCCGCTGGCGAAAGCGATCACAAGAATTTGATCACAGCAGCATCCCACTCGAAGACGGAGTTAACGATGAAATTGCAATTGAAATTTCATTAGAAACTAAGTTAGTGGAGATCAGTGCTGCTGGGATGAGAAGACCATGAGAAACGGCCCATAACCCGAGAAATAGGACCCTTTTCCCGTTGATTTCCGCATTTCTTTCTCCCTGTTGATTACCGCAATTGATGCCGACTCTCATCGTTGCTGCAGTCTTCATCCTAACGTTCTCTCAAACGGACAAAAGTCAGCACGGCGAGCGAGTGACTTATAAGCGAGTGTGCAGACACGCAAGCGGCGTAAGTATGATACCACTAAATTGTTGGGAGCACACTTCTCACAGTGGAAGGCAAGCGGTCCGCACGTTTAGGGGCCGCCTGCCTTTCGACTAATAATAAGTGCTATATTCTCTTCCGACTATATCGCTAAAAATCCTCTTTAACACGTCGACGACAGTGGCATGACGGCGATGGCGCATCAGATTTTTATTCCGGATGGGCTCATTTTGATTCGGTTTATTGTGCATAGTTTCATATCAACACTGTCTGGAGCAGTATTCTTTCCGCGGGAAAACTCGCTGTGCACCAATCAAAGCAATGGTGCGAACTCTTTGTTGAAGGAGTAGCGTCTTTTTTGAAAATAGATTAACAAAAACTTTTCGAGATGCGCGCACAACGGGCTGTCGTCAACGTGTTAAAAAATCGGTAACGTCACCTTTTCGGCAACTGATATATTGGCAAGCAGCATGAACTCTTCCACCATGGAATGCGTGTCGAGATGCTTCTTCTCCTGAACTGATTTCGGCGTACGTGTCTCCCAATCCATGTCGAATCGCACCTATAACAACATTCAGATATTCAATCCAGTTGATTTATGAGATAAGCCACTTTGGCACCACACGTTGCTGAGTTTGGCTCCTTGGTTACATAAACTGGTGCCGCGGGAAAATCTCAAAATTAGTCCCACTCATCATTAGCATTTGATCCTCACCTCTTCGCTCTTCAACCTCATCCAATTTTTTCCCTCTGCACGGGAATTCTCGGAAGCGAATGAAGAAGTTTATAAAAAGTCCTGCCTTCTCTGTGGAAGCCCAGACCGCCAACGACATTTGACTTTTCTCCAGCCACCAACGTCTACCCGTGTTTTATTTTTCTTCGGGCCTTCTCTGGCGAATTGTAAGGACATTGGGAATTCCGCCCACTTCAAAACACCCTGCACCTACTGTAAAGGAGAGGCCCTCTGCTCCTTGAAAGATGCTAATATCTTTCGGACAATGCTCTTCTCCATCCACCCTGGGGGAGGGGCTTCGCTTAGCTGTAAAAGACTCGCACAATCGAATTTTTTCTGCCTTGTAAACTCTCCCATATCGGAGCTGTAAATCTTTTTCTTAGCAAACTCCTCTTTAAATAACGTCCCTCCCGCAAATCTGGCCTAGTGACGCGGTGCACACATATACTCGCTTTTGCCTAGTATTTGAACTGCTCTGTAGAAAAACCAAGGAGGTTTCCGTCGCACCTCCCATTTTGGTATATCCCCCACCCCCACCGTGCGGGAGGGCTTTCGCTTAGCTGTTAAATGCTCCGTACATTTTGGCCCATTCCCATCCATCCCACACTTGACTTGATCTCTCTAAACTGATCGTGTGGGAATAGGGAATTCGTGATAGACAAATGGACCGGACAGGCAAATGAAGCATGAGCCTTGTATAATGCTCTACCTTATGTAAGTGAGACCATGCTTCACCTGCCTGCTTGCTTTAGCTTTCGCAAAAACATGACTTGGGCAATACATCTATAGATTGGCTGGAGGTGCCGCAAAGGAACAAGACACTGCTACCAATTTGAGATAGGCACGGTTCGCAGATCCCACTTGGGCAAGCATTCCATGAAGAAACGCCACCTGCTCACAGATTGAGCCTCTGAACAAAAAAGGGTAACATGAGTGCTGGCTATTCCCGCAACACACTAGGAAGGTCAAGGAATTCTTATCATCGAATTTCTTAATATTCTGGGCAAAAATCGAAAGAGTGGCACAGCTTGATGATGAACGCGCACAACCACAGTGCACCTTGACATTCTCACTTGCATCCAGCAAGCCCTCAGTTCATTCACCGCGACTTCATATGGCTGCCCCATTGACCTCACTCTTTTATTCCTCGGAGGCTATTCTTTTGTAAGGTAGTGGAAACACCCTGCTCGGCTTCCTCATTCAACAAAACCTAATCAAATAGCGCTAATCCTTCTACAAGCAGCTGACGGCAGCCGACTACACGCAAACGGCGGAAAACGGATGGCGATGTGAGCTAAACCTAGCAATTCATGTATCAACAAAAATGAGCAACAGTGAGTCAGGAATATGTAGCCAGCGACAGCTACAGAGGCGAATGATAGAAAAGGCAACGGACTCCACTCTGTCATTTTGACAAAATTGAAGCAGAAATAACAGACAAGACGCCGCATTCGACAAGAATCCTTTCTTTTGCTGAAAAGTGAGCTACGCATCGAATCGAAAAAGTGGGAGGATGAGGATGATGTTGAAAAGAGTTGAAGACTGCCCTTGAAGATAGACCCAGTGAATATTGTGGTATTCTACAAGCACGCCGTCTAGATATAAAAAAGAGGGATGGCAAAGCAAATGTTTTATATCCTTGAGTGAGTCAAGAATTGATTACTCCACATAGGAGAGAAGACAGATTAGGGAGAGCACGCTCGAGTCGACCTCTCCACTGAAAAAATGTGGGAATCCACTCACTGTGCCTTCGCCCATGAATTATCATTGTATTATACTACAAAGTTCGGCTATGAAAGAGCACATGTGAATAGCAGTTTTACCCGACATTCATCGTACACAAATTAGACTGACACACAATCCTTACCTAACAATGCCACCCTGCAACCACCTACTAGACTGCTATCAAAAAGTAGTTAGTTGATAAAATTAGTTGACAGAATATCAAATCTACCTCTGAAGACGCAAGGGTAAGTGCTCCATTGGCCGTTCTTCTCTTATTCAAAACTTTGGACAGCTTCATCAAGCCACGTAAACCGATAGTGACGTCATCGTTCTGAAATGAAGAAATTTCGTCTGCTCAACGCGCTACGGAAAGCAATGATAAACTCACCAAATTAGGATCATCAATGAATTCCTGCGCTTTTTCGTAAGTGAGCGCTGCCTTTGAACATATCAAGGACTTGTGGTATTTGGTATCCAGAATTTCTGCATCGCTTGTCATGGTCCAAATAACGGAGAACGCATATCTGAATCAACGGGTGTGCAGTACAAAGAGCATCTATAATCGTCCTTCCAGGTATCTAATCACAGCGTATCTTGTTATTTTTAACCTCTGATCAATTGTACAAGTCAACAATAGATTTCAATTCGTTAACAGAGTAGGTGTCTTGCAAAATTGGTGCCCTCATAGGGCTGACTAGTAGCCGTCCAAATTTCAGAAATCTACTTCTAGAATGACCTTTTAGAATGTTGACGAATCCTATTTATGGTGAAAGGATCTGATAGGAGCCATGAAATCATTCCAGTTCTCTGAGAACACGAAACCACTGAAATACTTACCGTTCTTCGCCACCTCTTAAAGAGCACAGTTGGCTACTCAACATGGGCAGGAAGCTATCAATTCGATTCGATCACACGTATTCGATCACACAAATAGAAGACAGTCGTTCCTCGGCTTGCCGCTTCTTCATCAATCGCTGTACCGGGCCTAACAAAATGTGTCACGTCTGCTATGTGGAACGCCTACCTGAAATAGTCACTGCTACAGAAAACATGTCGTTCTGAAAATAGGAATACTGTCTACCTCCCAAAGAGACCAGTGCCAAACGGTCGACATGAGTGCATCATCAATATCAGTGCATCCGAGTGGATCAACCTGAAAGCTATTTACAACCGACATTTGAAACACACATCTCGTATCTTCACGAGATCTGCCTAAGTCTTGTTCAACACCCTAAAATATTTGGCCGCCTTAAGCAGGATTCCATAACATTCATTTGTCCGATTTGAAACAAATCTCAAAACAAGAGCATGATTATCCCATTCTGTGAACTAGTTGTAGGGTGATCGCCCATCGAGAAACTTGCATTTTGAAAGTGAAATAGCCGAATCCGCAATCAACAGCGCTGCAGTGACTAAAGGTGTGGCCTAGACGTTCCATAAAGACCCAGTATGTGATCGATAAACTTCTCAGTTTGACGCGCACAACTATGACCGAAATCAATGATCGCAAAGCCTCGCATAATTCGACTTGTATCTACTCCACGCCCGGACTATAAACGAAGTGCAAGCAATCACAAAGTTTGAAAGAAACCGTTAAGTGAAGTGTATAATACTGAAACCCACCGAGCAGATTGTTAGATGACGTAGATCAATTCTAGGTGGCTTCAAATCCGGCTTCCAATCTTCACTAGGCAAACATTCTAGCACACCATCGGAGAAGGGAGCATGAGGGATGTCATGCTCAAGAAGAAGCACCTTAAATTAGTTACATTCACCTTTGTGCGATTTATAGTTACCTCTTCACAACAAGAAACATTGTTTCTTTTCACAACCAGAACATTGCTCATTCCGATTTCTTGTTCACAAGCATGCAGGGGTTACTTGTTTTTCGGTCCTGATTCTAAGTGAATCGTTTGCCTTTTGTGACTGTAGATTAATTAATAAACACATCAGTTAATAATGAGAATTGAAAACCCTTACTTCGTTCTCAATCTCGCGATCTCCAATTTTTCCAAGAGCTCGCACATAGTGTCCAAGTGGATATCTGCTATCTCGCGGCCATTGGTCGATACTCACCACAATGCGTTGATTTTCAAGAATATCAGCCTTAAATACGGGTTTTGTGAAAAGAATCTCACTGAACAATGAAGATCTGGTTCTGAGCGATTATTCTCCAAAATATAATTGAAAAACGCTCTTGAAACAAAACGCAAAAACCAGTGAACGAAGCCCAATAAAGAAGACTGGAACTGGAATTGTCAGTTACCTGCTCAGTTTCTATTCGGATTCGCGGAATAAGCCGATCACTAGGACAGAACAGAGTGGCGACGTCCACCCTTCAACTGGCTTCGCATAAGGATGCCACAATAATGTTCGCCGTATTCCGTTTTCAATTATCTCCAACAACCTGAACGATAGCGCTGAATATTTGTAACGTTGCAATCAAAGACTACACAATGTTTCGCAATGAATATGGATTCTTTGATAATTTCTGAGCTTTAGATCCCATGGGTTAGGATAACCCTTTAAAAAAACAAGAACGAAAAGGAAAAAATAGAAGGACTGGTCATATGGCAATAAAAAAAACCTACCTTAGCTGTAGGTACAGGTGTCAGCTTGGCCCGCTTAACTTTCGGTGCCTCTTCAGAGTCATCTGCTTCAGTTTCGTCATCAGCCTTCATTTCCAGATCTTCCACATCACACGTAGTCGAACTTTCTGTAACCCCAGGATGAAAAATGCAAGATAATCTTCGGCTTGCAACGCTACCATAGTACCTTTTCTGGTAACGACCATTCCTCTTCAGGCAACAGTTGCACAGCAACAATATCACCATCAATTGCTCTATTGCTGTCCAATCCATGGATGAACCAGGACGTCATCGTACTAGAATCCACCAGGACAAACGCCTCACGATAATTCTCTCGAGATACCTATAATATGAATCGAATTCGTTAAAGAACCAAAAAAAGAAAAACAATGACCAAGGCATGTCTAAAAGTGCTGGCCTAAAGGTGCAGGAGTGTAGAATGGGAGTCTCATCCAGTATAGGGGATATGTTGAGAGATAATGCTTGCCAGCTACAGAAATTCCGATCTCTCCAAGGGAAGAGGATCGCCGTGCGTGCGTAAACCTATTCACTCAAGCTTTTACACCTACCCTGAGCTTCCTTCTTCTGCAGAGAAGTGGATTACTTCTTGGGACATGAATTGTCGCTCCCCCCACCCCCTCCCCTTACTGGATGAGACCCATACAGAATTTGAGTTCAAATCTCAAGAGGGAAGAAATGTGAATGAAAGCAGAAGCAAATCAAGAGCTAGCGAAAGGAAAAACTCAAGAAAGTGTGTAATGCAACTTACAGAAAATGTCCCTTTTTTGATGGTTCCATGAGCAATGCCTTTGGTAATCTCATCGTGAGACAAATAATTCTCATATATGATTTTACCACCCGAGCTCGACGAATCATAAGCGGCCATAGCATCGAGTAAATCTCGTTTCTTTTCACTTTGCATACCTGAAATGATGCGCAATGAATACGATTGTTCAAGACCATAATCAATGGAAATGAAGCATCGATCAGAAAACAGCAAACCTTGAACATAATCTTTCACAGTATACGAGTACTCATAATTATCCTTTAGCCTTGTCAGTACATCGTCTTCAGCGCATAAAATGATAGGAATTATGTCGCGTTTAGCCCAATGCTTATTTAGATAATCCGCACAGACATAAAGAACTTTTTCACGCCTGAAATTAGACATTTGGAAACCGAGGTAATTTTTCTGAAGCGGCGATGAAATGTTAATTACCGTAAACTATCACTGAGGCCTGGCTCAGGACGCACAAAGGTCTTGTGATGGAACTCGCTCATGAATACCGAAAACCGTGGATCCTTGTCTTCGTAAACAAATTTGTTCAGCTTCTTATAAGCATTGATGGATTTCTGCTTGACAAATTCCCACACATTTTGCGTTATAATAACATTCCTAGAAGAAAACACAATTCCTTCAGGAAAATATAAGGAAGAAAGAACGCTTGATACTTGTTGCCAAGACTGGCTTACCAACTCTCAACGTTATATGCGTGAGCGCGATAAAAGAAGAACGAAGCAGTAGCTACTTGCATGCATCTTTTTAGCATGCGCTATACATTGCTTAGCAAGCCCAAATGAGAATTCAAAGCAGCTAGTCAGGCAGTAGTAAATAACCGACCCCACAAGGATGGAAGGTTTGCAAACATGGGCAACAGGCTACCCGACATTTCAGCCCGAAACCTGGTAGTGAGTGGCCCAATTTCCACTTCATCGTTTCCTTGCGAGCACTGATAAGCTGTGATGCATACATCATTCAAAAGGAAAGCGTGGCATTCCAAAAAAGGATATGCACGGTGTCTTGAAAACAAGAAAGAGATCAATTCCCATGCAAGGCTAAAATTCTAGCCCATAACTCAGTATCTTCGGAATGATTTCTTGAGAAATAGTAACGATGAATCGAAACTAGCTTACTCTTGAAGTTTAACGACACAGGTACAAAGAACTCACTGAAACAAATTAGAGTCGAATATGTCGATAAAACGCATGAAAACTTCAGAGTCCACGATAACAGCATGATTACTTTTGATAAGCGTGTTCTCGTCCTTATTTGGTTTCCTTCCCAACGTGTTGTTTCCTAAAGGTGAACAAGGTTCACAACTGTGAAGTCCACATGATAGATCATCTCGAAGATACCGCTCCACAGTTCGCTAAAATTACGCATTTCCCTTGATTTTTCGCATGGATTCCAAATAACTATGGAAAAAAGAAACAAAAAGAATGCAAACCCTCAAGCATCTGTTCCTGATCTTGAAATTTGTGGAGAATACAAGGCGATCAACAATCCCACTTTGCTTCACATTCAATTCCATGGTTCAATTACGAACTAAAAGTCAAATAATAATGCAAAAAGTAACCTTACGGCTTTCTCCAACTGAAACATATTCAAAAAGGAAAAACGACACCAGGAAACACCCTATATGATTAAAATTTGAAAACATGAACATTGTGAAATATACCTGCGGTCGCGTCGCGTCTGTTCGATTGGAGCGCGATGTACAGATCCTGACCACTCCATCGGTTTGTGATTCACACATCGGCGGGTCTAGCATCTGTGTTCTGTTTCTCCTGATAAAGT